TTTTATACCATGATGGCACATTAAAAATTGGATTTTTAAAGACGCTTTTTACTTTACCAAGGTTTTTCTGGCTGAGTACTCTAGCTTGCTGTAGTTGTGAACAGAAAATCTTAAACTGGACAACAGGTAATGTTCAGCTCGACTTTTAAAATACTTGATCTGAAACACACTTATGGCAAGCAAAATATCCAAGCTCACCATAGACCAAACCCACAAAACATTCGTATGAATGAATGCTGTAGTATCGTTTTTAGTTTTGTGCACTTCACATAAAATGTTTCGTTAGGAGCAAGATTGCTCTGTCATGAGGACAGTGCGTTCTGCAGGGTTGATACCACTAATTGTTACAGCTCAGGATGCTAAAGAAGAGAAATTTCTCTGCTCCCTGAAGAGGTAGCCCCAGAAGGAGGGTGAAATGTCAACATTTGGCCAAGATTTATTCTTGTTTATATCTAGGACTGGAATTTGTCAGGCTCAGCAGAAAGAATGCCATTAGCTTTGACAAGTGCGTGTGTGTGTCTGTCTTGGGTAATCTATTTAGGAGATGTAAAATGCTGCACACACTTCCTATTTTATTGCAAAAAGCTGAAATTGACGGTACCTGTCAAAAACTATCATCTTCCACTCTCTAAAAGGAAATTGACCCTTGCTTTCTCTGCAGTATCCTTCAGGATTAGAGCAGGTCCACCTCTCCTTTACCTCATACTACTTCAGTAGAAGGAAGTGGAGATTGAAAATATAATTGACCTGATGTTCAGATCTTGCTATAGTGAGGTCCTCAAGTACTGCCTGAAAATTATGGCTACATTTTAGGAGTATTCTTATGCCAGGAGAGTGCTATGCGTATCTATATTGTTATATAAATAATACTAAATCATAAAGCAGGGCTATTTAAAAGGTCTGATGTTCTAAAAACAATCAGGACTACAAATGAATGTTTTATACCATTAAAAATGCCTGCAACAAATCTACTGGAAAAAGCAAAATTAACTGCAAACTACACAAATGCTACCAGAAACAAAAAACTCTTACAGCTATGGCTCCAGCATTGTGACCAGAAGGAAAAAGTCATTGAGAAGTCTGACAATATTAAAATAGTATTTGTAAAATTCCTGAATATATCTTTTTCTTAGCAGTTTTTCAAGCAGAGGAGATTTACTTGTGCATAAATTATTTTAACACTCTAATTCACAGAAGATACCCGAGCCTTTTGCCGTATATACCATCTTCTTCAAGGAGTAATTGTACTCTTGTAATTCCTGAAGGCCACGATTAGTTCCAGCTTAGGATTTTGTATAATATACTTCCCTGTGGTACCTGGTCAACCAAAGGTGTCATACAGACGATTATTATAGTATCTAGAAAGAACATTACATTCTTTATTGTTTCGTATTTCAGAATATGTTACTTACAGAAATTAGTAGAAGTCCACAGCTCATGCCTCTTTTTGCTTTTATAGTATATTGCGGTAATTAAAGAAACATACAAATGCTTTTAGAAGCAATGAACCCTTCCAAACTCTAATCCTGGTGCAGTGGCTCTGAAGATTTATTCTTTACTCATTTGTATGCACATGACAATTCAGTGAGGCTCAAGTACTGACTCCACCAATTTTATATGATACGCCTTATGATTTCCTTGATAACTCTCAATTATACTCTCTTCTCTGCCTGACCTCAGAAACTTTAATCTTTGGCATGAAACTTTAGTCCCTGCTATTGTAATGTTGCTGGTCAGGTGCTCCACTTACAGGTACGCTGGAAATTGTCAGTGGTAAAGAGTAAATCCAAAAGGTCCCCTCCTTGTTATCAATTTCATAAGCTTTAATCTGGTATCTGTTTCTAGATTCTCCTTCATTCCTGACAGAGGCTCTTGCCAGCATTGATCCTGACTGCAGCATGGAATATTATAGCACAGACTGTTTAGGAAAGTCATTTACAGGAAAAGTATGCAGACAATTAACTTAAATGGCATAACAAATATGGACAACATTGCTACACATTAATAGTGACAATATGCTGGAGCATACCAGTGTTTAGGATTAAATTAAAATAGTAATGGACAGATTGTCTCTACCAGAACCATCCTGTGCATAGTGTAGCACACAGCTGTGCCGTGCTGAGAGGAGCTTCGGGAGAGAACCACCACCAAAGACCCAGCTGCTTTCGTTCCTCCCCTCCTTCCTTCCAAGGGAAACAACCTACGATCTTTCACTTCCAGCAAAAGATTTCTTTTCCTTGTGTTGATTATCTGTTTGGCTCTGCTTAATCTATATTCTTTCTGAGTCTCACTGTCCAGAAAGTGGTACTAGCTGGTGACATGAGGAAGACATTTAGAGCAATGCTTTTCATCTCAGAGCTTGCCTAGATGTATTTGGATGGACCATAGTATGGCCCAGTGTCTTTAAAGGCCAAATTTTGCTACCCTTACAATGACATAAGATGTTTCCTGAATGCATTGATGATAACTTCCTTGCAGAGGTGATCAAGCAACTGACAAGGGGAGATGCTCTTCTGGATCTGATACTGACAAATGGGGAAGAACTCGGCTGCGGTGACCATAAGATAGTAGAATTAGGGCAAAATAGCAGAATCACAGCCCTGGACTTAAGGAGAGCAGTCTTTGACCTGTTTGGGGGTCCCAGGGATTTGCTTGGAAGGATCCCATGGGATATAGTACTGAAGAGGAGTCCAGGAGAGTTGTTTGATTTTCAAGGATCCCTATCTAAAAGCTTAAGAACAGTCCGTCCTGACAGCAGGAAGTCAAACAAAAATGGCGGGAAGCCTGCGTGGGTGAACAAGCTGCTCTTGACTAAACTCAAATATAAAGAGGAAGTGTACAAGAGGTGGGAGCAGGGGCAGGTGACCCGGGAAGAATATAGAGCCACTGTCTGAATGTACAAGAAGGAGGATCTGGGGAAATACAGGTTGTTCAGCCTCACCTCGATCCCAGGGAAGATGGTGAAGCAAATAATTCCTGGTGGACAAGTTGACCATAAGCCAGCAAGACGTTTGGGATTCCTCACCCTCCTGTATTTCACATGGATTTTATGTGGTGCGACTTAGGTAGATTTTGTAAATTATGATTGTATACCTGGATATTAGAGAAATTCTTCTAAACTACTTTGAGTTTTGGTGGTCCAGAATTGCAAAGCACTGTTAAAATTCATTATTGTTGATGTTCTGTTGATTTTTGTCCACTGAGTCTTTCAAGATTTTCAAAGCAATGCAGCTGTTCTTGTTTAGAGCCACCCATGTGTATTTCCTACAGTTACCTGGCCAAACACACATGGTGGCTAAAATGAGTGACTCTCCTTCACTTTGCTGTCCCATTGGACTCAAACATGCTACTTTTATGAGTAGGTACTTTTCAATATGAGTAACTGTTGCAGAAGTTGGAAAAAAATAGATATTTTCTGTAGTTTTTCACCTCATAGATTTGGTTCTTACTCTCTCCTAGTCTTATTTGTTTGGCTTCTTTTTATTTCCTGCCATTTCAGTTTTCTCCCCAAAACAAATAAAATGTTTCTTTTTAACAAAGAGCATTATGTCATCAGGAGAGACTTAGATTTTTTTAAACAAGTTGCAATAAAATGCAGAAGAGGAAAATTAATGAAAAAACCCTAAATTCCAATACTTTCAATTTATTATTTTTTAACTGAGTTTGCTAATCAAAAAAGTAGTAAGTTACATACTATTCTGCCTTACTTCTATGCAAATCAATGAACAAAAAATGATTAGTTGGGGACATTTTTATTGATTTTAAAATAGGTTTTAAGATTACAAGAAATTCAATTCCGCTGAAGGTTTAAAAAATTAATCATATATGATTGTATGTTATATGTTAAATGAAGAAGTAAAAAGGAATGTATTTCTTCCCAAATGGATCATCACACAACTTCCAATGACTTCTGTGCTGTAGAAAGTTAAATTTATACATCTGTCTAAGATTAATGAAATGCTATATATGGTCAACTCACCTTTATGGTTAATAGCAGCTGTACTTTAAAAAGATACTTAGAGATGAATTAAAGCAGTTGCCTTTCGGTGTTATAGGATTGATGAGTATCAATCAGATATACAGAACCATGCTATGTGCTCAGAACGATGCCTCAGAAGAGCAATCGCTGTTTGAAATAGGAGGTAAGAAGAGTAATTCTCTTTGTAGAGTCACACCGCTCAGCAATCTGCAGGTAATTCAATTCCATTGCCAGTACTACCAGGCAGGAGAGGAGGAAAACCAGCATAAGGGCAAAAGAAGAGCTGTTATGCTGCTGTACTGAAAAGAGATTGAGCATTGTACGTTTACTGATACAGGACTAATGGTGATTGACAACTTCTGCGTATGAGGTACCGCTGGAAGATTTTCAGAAGGGTGAACTATGATCCTAAGTGTCAGCATTTTCAGGAAATCAAAATATAAATATACTGAAACATATGCAGACACCAACTAAGGTGCAAACATATAAATATTATAAAGCATTTTTAGTGGGTTTGGTTTTTTTTTCCAGATGAATTTTTCTTTATAATTTCCTTTACATATGTTTTCCCCCTTCTTAAATCCTATGTTCTTTCTTAAGAGGGCATGAATCATCTCTGTGCAGCCTTTCCTTCTCCCAAGTGTTTTCTCTCCTTCTTCTTATCCTGTTTTTAATGCATGAATTATCTCTCATCCCTTCATCTCCCCCCCACCCCGGCCCTTTCTTTCTTGGCCGTCTTGGGATTCAGAACAAGCAGCCACCTCCAGCCTCCAACCAGCCAGGAGCACCAAGGCAGGAAAAGAGCGGCCCCCGGGCTCGGACCCGGCGCCAGGCCGGTGGGCCGGGAGGGCGGCCCTCAGGAGCGGCCCTCAGGAGCCGCCTGCTTCCCCGCCCTCGGGGCCTCGCCTCGTCGCTGACAGATGCCGCCCCCGCACGGAAGATTGGCTTCGGAGTCCGTCCTTCCAACTGGTTTGTCCCTCCGGACGACCCGTAGCGCTTTCCTCTTCCCGCCCCCCCCATCATGGAAGGAGCTGCGGCCTCTTCCGAGGGCCTGCGCTATGCTGAGTACGCCAGGATCCCTACGGGCACCGGCAAAGGCCAAGCCGAGCTGGACCGAGGGCTGGTGAGAGCGCTGGGGACGGGGACGGGGACGGGGACGGGGACGGGGACGGGGATGGGGATGGGGACGGGGACGGGGA